GCCGGAAGTGGTGTTGTGGCTCAAGTGGTAGAGTGCCAGCCTTGAGCTGAAGAGCTGAGGGACAGCGCCCAGGCCCAGGGTTCAGGCCCCACAACTGGACCCAAAAAAAAAAATAGAATGGAAGAAAGACAACCTCTTTAGTAAATGGTGCCGGCAAACACCTATAGAAAACTAAAGCTAGATCCTTATATATCACCCTGCACCAGAACCAAGTCCAAATGGATCAAAGACCTTGGAGTCAAAGCAGACACCCTGAAAACATTACAGGAAGAATTAGGAGAAACTCTAGGGCTCCTTGGCACTGGCCAAAATTTTCTTAATAAAGACCCAGAAACACAACAAATCAAAGAAAGATTGGATAAATGGGATTGCATGAAGCTGCAGAGCTTCTGCATGGCAAAGGACATACCTAGCAAGATCAATAGAAAGCCCATGGATTGGGAGATCTTCACTAGCCATACAAAGGACAAGGGCCTCATATCTAAAATATACCTGGAACTCAAAAAATTAAATCCCCCAACAACAAATCCTCAAAGAAACAACTGCCCGATAAATAAGCAGGCTAAAGACTTAAAGAGAAACTTCTCTGAAGAAGAAATAAGAATGGTCAATAGACACATGAAGAAATGCTCAACTTCTCTGACCATAAAAGAAATGCAAATGAAAACAACATTGAGATACCACTTCACCCCAGTTAGAATGACTATAATCAAGAAATCTAATAACAACAGATCTGGAGGGGCCAAAAGGGAACCCTACTTCATTGTTGGTAGGAATGTAAACTTGTTCAACTACTTTGGAGAGCAGTATGGAGGTTCCTCAAAAGACTCCACATAGAGCTTCCCTATGACCCAGCAATCCCTCTTTGGGTCATTTACCGAAATGATCACAAACAAGGCTATACTAAAGCTACTAGGCACAACTATGTTTATTGCAGCATTATTTATCATAGCTAAGATATGGAACCAACCCAGATGCCCCTCAGTAGATGAATGGATCAAGAAAATGTGGTAAACTACTGCAGGACAGAGTAGGAGAGACACTTGAACTTACAGGCACAGGCAGGAACTTCCTGAACAGAGTCCCAGAGTCACAACAAATTGGAGAGAGACTCGATAAATGGTATTACCCTAAAAGTTTCTGCACAGATAAAGAAATAGCAACCAAACTAGAAAGAAAGCCAACTAATTTGGAAAAAATATTTACCAGCAATATAGCAGACAAGGGTCTAATATCCATTATATACAGGGAACTCAAGAAACTAACTCCTCACAAATCTAACCAAGCATGAAATGGGCAAAGGAATTAAAGAAAGACTTCTCAGAAGAAGAGATAAAAGTGGCAAAGAAACACATGAGAATGTTCATCATCCCTGGCTGTAAAGGAAATGCAAATAAAACCAACACTGAGCTATCACCTTACCCCAGTCAGAATGGCCCACATTCCTAAATTCAGACAATGACAAATGCTTGAGGGGATGTGGAGAAAGAGGAAGCCTACTGCATTGTTGGTAGGAATATATACTAATACAACCACTTTAGAAAGCAGTCTGGAGGTACCTCAGAAAGCTAAATATAAACTTCCCCTATGACCCAGCCATACCACTCCTAGGCATCTACCCTGAACAACAGGAACCAGTATACAAAGACATATGCACCTCCATGTTCATAGCAGCACTGTTCACAATAGCCAAGATTTGGAAACAACC